CAGACAGACGGACAGACAGACGGACAGACGGACATGGCTATATCAACTCAGGAGGTGATCGTGATCAAGAATATATATACTTTATAGGGTCGGAGATGTCTCCTTCACTGCGTTGCACACTTTTGACCAAAATTATAATACCCTCTGCAAGGGTATAATGAGGGGCATTTCCATCGATTAACGATTAAGAACAGCGATATTTTATTGATTATTCTTGTGCTGCGTAAACTTGGCACCTGCAGCAACCTAAATTACCTGACCACGCCCACAATTATGCAATTGTGCCGCCCACAAAACGCGCAATTCAACGGCATGAGAGGGGAGGGGGACAAAAAAGGGCGGAACGGGGGCGGCGTGGTGGGTCACATGTGCCGCGAACTGGTTAAAAGTCAATTAGTCTAATTGCCCAAATGCAATGAATGTCAATTTTAATGAGGCCACTGCACAGGGACGACGGAAGAAGGACAGCGGTCCATTCCGGTCCTGTTTGTCAGCCCTTCGCAGCCCACTTGCCACTCTCTTTGACCTGTCAAAGGCGAACAAGGTGGTTCCCATCATCGCATCCACTCAAAATCATAACAAACAACATCAACGGCAACAGCAATAAACATAAAAAACCCAAGAAACAACGACCCAACTGCAGACATAAGCAGACTTAACTGAAAGAAAGCCGACTGTAAGTGAAAAGGACGGGAAACGGAATATACCCTTTAAGGAAATATAACAAATTCGCATGGCCATAAAAAATAATGTGTAAAAATCACAGAATATCGCTTTCCTCTTCGAAATACCTATATAAAATAATAAACACCAATTATAATCTTTTTTAACTGTCCTTACAAGAGTGAACGTATTTTATAAACTTTTTTGTTAATATTTAATTTTGTATGATCGCTTAGAATTCCTGCAGATAATAATATATACTTAAAGATTTTAAATTTTTGATTTGACTTTGTTGAATACGTTTAAATAATAATAATAGTCACATACTAGGATTATTTTCAAATAAAAATACGGTGCCATACTCTGTATATAAAACTATAAACTTAAAATAACAGATATAAAATATTTATTCAATATAAAGAACTTAGTTCCAAATGAAACGTAAAAACATAATAATTCCGTAAAAACCAATTAAGTAATTTGTAGTTAAGTAAAAGCAAAAGATTGGAAAAATCCAGGGTAGCCAGGCGTCTTTAGCATTACGACAGCTGAGTGGTGGCCAAAAGTAAGGACAAGAACAAGAGAAGAAGAGAGGAAGTGAAAAAGTGAAAAAGTGAAAAAGGACACTCGTAAACTTTGCACCTCACTTGCTAATGTGGCAGCTTAGAGACAGAGAAAGCAAAACTGACAAAGGAGAAGGGTCCCTGTCCCCGCTTTCAACATATTTTTGGGGGTCTTCAAAATGGAAGGGGCCCTGCGAAAGTTTTGCACTCGAATTTTTTACTACTTTCATTTTTGTTTCGGCGTGGCGAACGAGCACGTGTGCGTGTTTGTCTAAGCTGCAATTAGAAAGGTCAACGGTGGCCAAAAAACGTAATGGAAAAGGAAAAGTATGTGTCAATTAATTAACTTAATTCAGCCAAAACTTTTACAAACATTAAAAAAAAATTGTGCAAAAGTACATTTGGGAACACTGGGTAAATGCTACAAAAAAAATGTGTTATTCAATTTTTTTGAAAATAAATTTTTAAATATATTCTTTTTTTTACCAAAAACAATAATTTTTTTTGAAATAAGGATTAGCATTAAAATGTAAATTGAATAGTATTCATTTTTTCTGTTTCTTTATTTTTTTAAATAAGTACATATATTTAGATCATAAAACTAATTGTGACTTACATTATAAATTTATTTTTATATTCATTTACATAGTTGTATATATATATTCAAAAGTATTTTATTCATATTTTCATGTATATATTTATTTATACATTTACATTAACCATTTAAAAACCCAACCTAAAAAAGCCAACTTAAACCAGCCCTAGCCCTTTAAAGTAGGCCACAATGCTCGAACTCTTCAAAAGCCAAAATCCGAAATGAACATGAATACCGACAATTCTGTAAAAAAAATAACGGTGAAAAATGCTGAATACCAGAGGGGGTTTTACTAGGGTTAGTGGTCGATTTTAGCAACGCATAAATTACGCACTGTAATTGAATTAAAATCAATTTTTGCATTCGTGCGCACAGAATGCATTTAGCCAGGGATCTGATGCAGCTGCTCCGCATTCGGATCCGGGTCTGGGTCTCCGGGTTGGATTTCGGGTTCGAGTTCGGGTTCGGGTACGAGTACGGTTTCCTGGTGTCCGTACTTTCCCTCTTTTTTTGTGCATTTTGCGCACTTTTCGCCAGCGGTATTGCCTGGATATTGGTGGTGCGGTGGTGCGGTGGGGCGGCGATAACAAACAAGCAAACAACATCATCAATGAACTGGTCAACCAGTGGACTCTCCATCCCCTCCCCCACACGCACTCAACCGGGGAACCACCGGCACCACTCCACCACCTGGCCATAGAAAACACTGGCCGAAAATCTAGTAAACCAAGCCTATAGGGTGAGTTGTATTAAATTATGGAGAGAGCCGCTTTTCACAATTTTTTTTAATTTTTCAGAACTCTTCAACCCTTTTTTTAAACATATTTATTTATTTATTTAGAATATGCTTTTTTGTTTATATATTCTTATTTATTATAAAAGTGAAACAATGTTTTTGTAAGCTCAGTTCAAGACCAAAACACAAAGCTATATTTTAACAGAAAACAAAATTTAAGACCTTAAAATTTAGATAGATTATTTTCTTAAAATCAGTACAAAACAGAAAGTAGTAAATCAACTTGCATTGAAAACATATTTTTTTATTGAGATCCTTCTGTTTTAGAATACGTTCTTTTTAAAAACTCTTTTAGCACAGAGGAATCAACCCAATTTGTACTAAAATGTATCCCCTAAAATATAAATTCTTAATGTTAAGTTTTGTTGTTTTTGGTGTACATATGTACACTAATTATCGGGATATTTAGAGCCAGTAAGCTTTATAAATAAGTTAAAAAGAGGCCATTAAGTTAATGCGAAGCTTAACATTGTATTATCATTGTATTAATTATCAGTGTAATTTTTTCAAGTGCACCCCATCGACGACCAGCATTCATTTTTCAGGCCAAACTTTGACAAATTGCTGCTGGCCAAGCTCAAAATAGAGGCAGCTGGTGTGTGGTGAGGGGGGAGGGGGGCTAGCTAACGAGGGGGCTGGGAAAGGTGACCCCGAACATCATCACATCACTGCGGCTAATTATTACATTTTTACCTTGACCACGCCCAGCGGAGGGCATGAGGGGGCGGGACGGGGGGAGATGAAGGCACTTTGACAGCCGCTGATAAATCAATGTCAAATGAGTGTTTTTCGCGGAGAAATGGAGATGGCACCCGTAAGAGACGTTTGTGGGGTGGGGGATTAGTAGCGTTGACTAACGAATGAGTGCATTATGTATACCCAGTGTGGGCTAATTTGATTGAAACGCACATAATCGTACAACTAAGTTAGGGGCTTCGGGCAGAGCGGATGAAACGTGTCGGGGATTACAGTAGTTCGAAACTGCGAATCCAATGGCTAAGCTCCGAAGGAAAGTCATTCGCATTGCAGTCGAGCTATTATCACATAAGCTTGATTCGGGTTGATCTTAGATTACTTAGCTTTTGGTTCTTTAAATGATAAGTAGCTACACAAAAGTTACTTTAAGTAGAGACAGTCTCTACATTCCAATTTGTTTTTATACACTTAAAAAAATGTTGTAAAAAATTAAATATATATAAATGTAAGACTGTGTAGGAGAAATGGAGAATGAGATCAGCAGAATAACAGGAGATCAGTAGAATAACAGCAGATCAGAAGAATAACAGCAGGAACATCAGTAGTAGCAATAACAGCAGGAACAGCAGTAGTAACAGTCACAGCAGAACAGCGGATTAACAGGAGCTTAGCAGCAGAAAGAGAGCGATACGACAAGAGGCATTCGGCGGAGACGACAGCAGCAGAACAGAAGCAGAAAAACGACGCACAATAGGAAAAGCTGAAAACTACGCAGTAAACTTATACTTATAATCTATACTTAATATTAATAATAAAACCGAGGTGACCTAATAACCCACCTTACATAAATATATTTATTAATGCATCTATATTCTACAGACATCAAAAGAGACCATATACATACGAATACCTGCAAAAATATTATAAATGTACATATATAGTTCACTAGCAACACACGACGCAACTTTATCCGTTATGGTTTTTTCCAGTTTATAAATTATTTTACATGTTCCATGCTATATTAATATATTTACATTTATATAGAGTATTTTTATACCCGTTACTCGTAGAGTAAAAGGGTATATTGTATTCGTGCAAAAGTATGTAACAGGTAGAAGGAAGCGTTTCCGACCCTATAAAGTATATATATTCTTGTTCAGGATCACTAGCCGAGTCGATCTAGCCATGTCCGTCTGTCCATCTGTCTGTCCGTCTGTCTGTCCGTATGAACGCTGAGATCTCGGAAACTATAAAAGCTAGAAGATTGGCATTTTGCATGCAGATTCTAGGAGTTCCTACGCAGCGCAAGTTTATTTCAAAAAGGTGCCACGCCCCCTTTAACGCCCACAATCGCTTATATACGATTTTAAAAATTTAAATATTTCGGAAAAGTAAAAATGCAGTTTTATTGTGTTTATCAATACCTATCGAAATGTAGAAGAAATTTTTCAAATCGGACCATTCGTTAAAAAGTTATGCGTGATCAAAGTTTCTATCTCCATCTCCCTCGCACTCCCTTTACCTGAGTAACGGGTATCTGATAGTCGGGGCACCCGACTATAGCGTTCTCTCTTGTTTAACATTTATAAAGTTAAACGGTGAAATAAATAAACTCAGGAAACCTAAATTATTAAGTCAAAATTTTGAGTCTTCCGAAACTAAACATTTATTTTTACTTGGCTTTAACGTTAACGTTACTTGAGTTTAGTGTGTGTGCTTTTCAAAATACAGACAGATATAGACATTCGCACGCACCGGCATGTTTTAGTACACCGCAGTTTGTCACGTTTCTATACAATTTTCCTCGCCATTCGTCTTAAAAAAAAAATTCCAAGCAATTTAAATAAAATTCAAATATCAGATCCGATTTGGTGCATTATTATTAAGCAAAATTATTCGAGTCTAAACAAGGGGCAGAGGCTGATCCAATCATTAAAGGCCACAAATAAGCCACAATTGCTGCGAACGGGATTGGGATATCCCGCGATCCTCCGATCGAAGGCTGAGGATGAAACCCGACCAGCTGAACCGCCTGATCAAGGTCAACAGGCGGATGCAACCCTGGTTCTTGCGTAACACCAGCGAGCTCTACGAAAGCGCCATTAGGACCTATTACGAGCGCGGCTACAGTTCTCGTAAGTCCTGAAATCCTAACCCGCTACCCACTGCTAAAAGAACGATATTTATCTAAATATTTTGTATTTACAAATTTATACGTTCTTATTTCAGATCAAAGTAATTGAATCATTGAATGAATTTCACAGATTTTCTTTGCTTTACATATTTGGCTTGTTGTTCTTGATACAATCTCTATGCATCAGATAAATATAAGCGTATTTCAAAGGCAATGACAGTTTCTTAGTGCTGGTAAAGTTTCACAGTAAAAAACTAAAAAAAGTAAATTAACAAAATTAATTAAAAAACGAAATTATGCACAAATTTTGTTGTTCACTTTTATTGCAAAATGATTTTTTGTTTGATTACTTTTTTAATTAAGCCCATTTTTCAAGTTTCATCACACAGCTTTAAAAGGTATTCAAATTTAAAATTCCACAAATTAAAAAAAAGGTGAAATTGAGTTAAATTGTTGTTAATAATTTATCATATTTTAAATGCAGATCGATTGTTTTTTTTTCCTTTTTAACAAAAGAGTAACCTATTAAAGTCTTTTGTTAATTTACAGCCCATTGAGTAGTGAATAAATAGGGCATCTTGTGTGCTTTTTTTTCTACCGTCCCAGACAATCAAATCCCACGTCTCATTAAATTAAAAAATCTGAAATTTAATGAAAATTGTATTCAAAGTTTTTCATATTTTAAATGCAGATCGACTGATCCACTGAGTAGTGAATAATTAGGGTTTCTTTTCCACATTCCCAGACAATCAATTCCCACGTCTCCGCACGGAGAATGTGGGTCCGTTGCGCAGGATCAAAAAGGCGGAGCCGGAGCCCAGTCCCGCCGACGTGTACCCGCGCAGCCACATTCTGCAGGCGGACCAGGCGGCCAGCAGCTCCTCCGGCCAGCTGCTGCACACGATGATGCAGGCGAGCCGGCGCCGCTCCATGTCCTTCTCGGCGGCTCGTCCTTACGCGACCTACGGCCAGTCCACCGCCCCGCGAAGTAGCGCCAGTTCGAGCTGCTCCAGCGGGAGGAGCAGTGTCGGATCCTCCCGCACCGAGATCCTGGGCGGCAGGGCGAAGCGGAAAAGGAAGTCGGGGCGAGGAGGGAGCAGGGCAGAGACGCTGAAGGGGAACGAGGAGCAACTGGTGGACATGGGCATGCTGTTCGGTGGCCGGTCGATGAGCCTGCCTCCCCCTGCCATCTGCACCCGGCTTGGGATGCGGCGCCATGATGCGGACCATGCCGCCGAGCAGGCAACACCACATGGCGGCCATGGCGAAGAACTCGCTGGCGCAGCCCATCCGGATTCCACGGGGCGATGGGGACCACCTAATGCCGGTGGATGCCGCCCTCAAGCGTCGCATTTCGGTGCTGGGCGGCCAGCTGGAGGAGGGGCGTGGTCGGGCCAGGGCGGAACTGGGTCACCTAATGGTCACCGGAAACGGCAGTTCCATCGACGGCGGCCGATTCCCGTCGGAGATGCGCTTCCGCTTCCAGACTTTGGGCGATCGCATCAAGCAGTTCGAGTACATCCAGTTCGCCGATGGACCCGTGGCCTCATACGCCTTCAATCGGAGCCATCGGGGTCCCAGCGGTGGTGGCAGCGGATCCACAAGGACTCGTCTCGAGAGCCTCCCCCGCGACGCGGATGTGGGGCTACAGCCACGCCATCTCAGCTTCAACAATGTCCTGCACGCCAACTATCGGCAGAGGAGCAGGAGTCTGGAGCACGCGAATCAGCTGCTGGAGGCCATTGCACCGCGACCAGTGACGCCGGTCTGTCCGCTGGGGAACGGTGGATCCGCACGGGGATCCAGCCTGGACAGCAGTTCGCGAACTAGTTTCCAGCCCAGCAGTTCGACAGCAACAGGTATACTATAAAGTAATTTCCAAACAAAAACCCAACATCGAAAATTAGGAATTAGGAATTAGGAAATTTTATTTTTGTTTTTTTTACTTTTATAAATGTGGAAATTTTATTCTTAAGATTAGCACACTGCTACCCAACTGGCAGCTTAATCTAATCGATTTTTACAAAAATTATACAATAAATAGTCTAATCGTTACTTAGGGCAAGAAGTAATTTCGTAATATATATATATATTATATATTTTTGGCGCTAACATGGACTTATAAGGTTAGGAAATTTAAAAAAATTTGATGCAGAAATCACTAGGGTTTAAATTCGATTATTATGGCGTCTAAAAGTATGCAATGCAATAAATCCATCGGATTCCCGATTCCCGATTCAATATAATCGTTGCACACTCTTACTTTTAAAGTAATTTTAAAGTTTGATTTCTGTAGCACAACCGCAGAATTTGATATGTAATTATATCCTTCTATAATAATTCTTATAAAGTAATAAGATAATTATACAATGTTAAAATCTAAAACAAAAGCTTAAGTATTTTAGCCAATGACTGCATCCGTAGTGTAACACACGGAGACTGAGCTTCGCTGCACGCAGGCAGCTCCCTCTGGCGCTCTCTCTTGAGAGAGAGGGATAGATCCTCTCTTAAAAGAGAGAGCCACTGCTCCTGTAGTGTGGCCAGCTTATCTTTACTCTATTTGGCCTGTTACAGTAGGAAGTACCAAAATATCGTGGCTTACCAATTCTATCTAATTCAAACGACTTTATAATATATGGCTAACCCTTTATACCTCGGTATCTTTCAAAAAATACTATTTTTGCCTAGAAACCAATGCAGAAAACTGTGGAAAGAGTTCTGAAGAAAACTTAGGATATTCAAAGAGTTCGAAAGAAACTTCGGTTGAAAGTTTTGGAACCGCTTGGCAGGGAACTCCTGCCAGAGATTGGTACAAGTACCAAGGATCGAGCAGCACTTTGGGAACGACAACAACAGAAGCAACTACGGTAAGAAACTCCAACACATACAAGGGAAACAGGGGAAGTTCCTCTGGACCAGTTTCGGGATCAATTCCAGGAGCAAAACCACGCTCAGTCAAGGGATGTACTGCTGGCGAAACTTTGGGATCTTCGGCAGTAAATTCGGCGCCCTTTAGAGCCACTTCCCGTGCCTCTTCCAAGGGCACTAAAAAAGCCGCCTCGGAAGCAGCGTCGGGAGGATTTGCTGGACCCATTTCGGGATCATATTCTGGATCATATTCTGGATCACATTCTGGATCATATTCTGGATCATATTCTGGATCACATTCCGGATCTCTTTCTGGATCATATGCTGGCCAAGAGGAGCCCAGTCGAGCCACCCTGGCACCCGTGCGTCGACAGCAATTGCAGCAGCGCAGTCTTCAGACGGCCCCCAAAGTGGATGACCCCACGGGCGGGGTCAAAGAGCACGTCAAAGAGAAGATCAATGAGAAGGTCAAAGAGAAGGTCAAGGAGAGGGCCAAAGAGAGGGGTGATGAGAAGGTCAAAGAGAAGGTCAAGGAGAGGGTCAAGGAGAGGGTCAAAGGCAAGGTGATGGACAAGGTCACAAAGAGGAAGCCACTGGATAAGCCGATGTATAAGCCGATGGACAAGCCGCGGGTGACCAAGGTGACCAACAATCAGGTGAGCCGCTCTAGCCGTCGGGCCTTCCTCCAGACACCCGAAGACCCCGACCTTCCCGCGGGTAATCCTCCCAAGACGTCGCACCAGGACCAGAAGACGGGAAGGAAGCTAAAGGAAGCCGCCAATCTCAAAGGGGCCAATCAGCTGCTGGTGGCGAGTGCCTCGCAGGTATGTAGTTACTAAACAACTTCTTAAAATTTGTTATGAAAATATTTTCATGAGCTTTTTCATTATAATATTGGCAACATTTCATGACCCTTTTCGGGCTGAGTTTTTATTAAATTACACCTAAATGCAATATTATTATTTGTTGTTATTTTGCTAGAATATGCAAATATATTTTATTTTATTTTCAGAACGAAATAAAAAGGGTAACGCTGCGTATGAGTTATTTAAGATCATCGATATTAATGTCACTCATACGCAGTGTGGCTATGTAATTTACTTTTGGGTCTTTGTTCGCTATTTTTGAATAAAAACATTTTAATATATATTATATCCTCATCAGGTTTCGGCCTACAAGCGTGCCTTCCGCACCCAGCAGCAGATGCTCAAGGCGGAGATCCTACACCAGCAAGCGCAGCATCTGCAGCAATTTCGAAAAAACATACCGGCGGAGATGCCTTCATCGAGTAAGGAAACAACCAGACTGCAAAGCCACCGGGGTTCGATCACGACTACGACCACCAATCGGTCGACAAATCAACGCAATGCAGCCACTTCGGGCGGCAAAGCACCTCCGTTGAAAAGTGGAGTGTCCAAAACGGGGACTAGAACTCTGGCTGCATCAACGGCCAAGCCAAAAACGAATGGATCAGAGCTGAGAAAGAAAGGACCTACAGGATTACCGGCTAACGCAGCAGGTAAGACACCTGGGCTAATATTGTCCTTGAAATTTTACCTTTGCTTGGGGTCCTCCCTTTGATGATTTCTGATGTAATGCAATTTATATGTATTTATGACTAGCAAAACTATAAAAAAAAAGAATGGCGGTTACTAATAATAGAAAGAAATAATTTAGTTAAATTTCAATAATGCATTTTGTAGACATTATCATTATCGGTAACCAAAAAGATGTAATTTAAAGGACATATACAATTTTAAGTGGGTTTTATTGGGTCCACCCTCGAATCCTATTGAACTAAAATTTTTATTTTTACAGCTGCTTCCGTAACAGCAACCGTAACGGCGCCCGTAACAGCTTCCATAACAGCGCCCGCAACAGCGCCCTTAACAACGACCTTAACAGCGGCATCGAAGCGCACTGCACAGCCGACGTTGCAAAAGGGAACAAAAACAACTAAAAAAGGATCAGTGGCAGGAGTTGCGTCGGCAGGAGGAAGAGTGGGGGGAGGTGGAGGAGCGGGATGGAAAGCGGGACCGAAAGCGGCGCAAGCAGCAGCAAAAACAGAGACAAAAACACGGCGAACGGTGCCGACGCTGGCAGCGCAGCAGCAGCACTCGCGTAACGGTAACTCGCTGCTCGGCTTTCGACGGGAAAATAAAACGCTTAGCCGCGCAGCGGCAGCGCTGCTGCAGCGACGCGACGCAGACGAGCCGCTGCCGCAGTTGCAGTCGCAATCGCCGTCGGCGTCGCTGTCGGCGTCGCAGTCGCAGTCGGCGCAGCAGCGGCGTCAGTTTCATTTAAATCCTCCGTGGCGTCCCAGCTACTGAGTGTTCACTGTGCCCCGCATTTTCATACTCTTCTAGTAATTGTCCCGATCTTGAGCATGGAAGAGAGTGGGGGATAAATCCATTGTAGAGGTAAACATGTCATTGCAATAAAACGAGAAAAAAACTTCAAAATTGATACAATTTATTATTCCTTTTACTGGTAGAGTATATCTTATTCGTTGGAAAGTGTAAAATAAATAGAAGGAGGCGAATGCGACCCTACAATGTTTATAATTTCTTGATTAGGATCCTTAAGTCTGTCCGTCCGTATCAATGTCGAGATATCAGAAACGACAAGAGCTGAATATATGGTATTTTGCATTTAGATCTAAAATGCCACGCCCACTCTAACGCCCATAGGTGGGTCATGTTATCTATCGACACACCAAAAATTATTCAAATCGCAACATTACTTTGTCATATTAAGTGTTAAATAGGAATGGCAATTTTTTGTCGTTTTTCTGTGCCAGCTACTTATTGTTCACAGTATCCCAAAATTGTAGTGTAGTTTGTATTACTCTAGGAATTATCCAAGATGAAACCTGAAGGGATAACCTACACCTTATTTAATGATCAAAATCCATCACGGTATCAAAGTTTACTTAATAAAGGATTACTTAATCCAGGAAAAAGATCGGCAGAACATAGTACAGATTTGGCAAAATGAAAATTTAAACAGTATTAAATAGATTCCCAATTTTTTTTTCTAAATTTCATTGCTATTTTATGTTACAATTAGAAATTTAATAATTGGACAATTACATTTAATTAAAGGTTTAATAGATAAAAAGAAAGAGAAAGGTATATAAAGTCTAAAAGAGAAGGAGAATAAATAGAAAATAAGTAAAGTGCAAGTGGACAGATGAAAATTGTGGGTGTAATTTTACCGCAATGCTAATTTCGATACACAAAAACTCACAGATACAGATACACGCAATACGCCACTTTCCCCCACTATTTTCCCGTATCAACAACACAGCATTAATTTTTCATGCAGATTTAACCGTTACATGACAGGACCAACAACAATCGTTGGCGGCAGTACAGTGAAACCAATGGTAAAGGCCAGCAAAATAATAGAAAAGTTGAATAATATTAAATTAAGATAGTTTATGTTTTTTTCTTAATGCATTTAATAAATATATTTAAATGCTTCTCGATTTTGCTTGACAATCATTAACTTGTAGATACATTTTTCTTGTTTTCACATTTCTAATCTGTTAATCGGAAAAATCTTTTAGGAAAATTACTTATCTATTTATTCAAGTATCTCCCATTTTGACCACTGTACTCCTGCACATCAATGTCAAACAGCCAAGATAAGCGTCGACAACAACAATAAAGAACCGAAGAAAACGCAGGAGACCGAATAGCCAAAAAAAAAAATAGAAAAGTGCAGGAGTGGGAAAAAAATAGTAGCGACAGCGACAAGAAAACGGCGACGACTTTTGTGGGTGGGACACGTTGGGAGTTTGTGGAAGATTGGATGGCGGATGGAGGATGGTTTTTGGCTTGTTGTCAGCCCTGCGAATTGTTGCCGCGCTCTTTGATAAATGATGATGCGTGCCACATGACTGGCCATATAAACGGACTCGACTCCGCTTCTTGGAAGACCGAGAAAAAGCGAGAACACTGGCAGACAAATAGGCTCGTGCCCAGGACAAAGCAGTTCAACGTTTGAACCCGGCTAACTGGCTGACTGACTTGGCTAGAATAGATTGACAGATGTACAATGGGTAGCAAAGGGAATAAAAAACAAAGGAAATGCTGGTGGAACACATTTGGGGAACCACCAATAAATTGGCCAACATTTTAGACAAAATTAGGTTACTCCGAAGTAGAATCTTAGATGGATTTTTCTTTCACAATTTATTCATAAAAGTAATATAAGATAGTCGTATCATAAATTATTATTTATGGCTTAGAAAAAATAAAAATTACGTAATAAAACAAAATGGTCTTGGAAGGCAACATATACTATATATTTAGGTTTGTTGATAAACTTCAAGCTAGCTCAATTAAAAGGTTAAAATTGTTTAGTTTTTAGCCTAATTGAATATCGAATTTTGAAAGTTTGAATTTTACTTGTTCGCAATTCCACTACATTTATGTTGGGCATTCTGCACAGGAAATTGTTCTCTTCGAATTAATCATGTTAATTTTATTATGGCTTAGAAAAAAATAAAAATTACGTAATAAAAGAAATGGTCTTGAAGGACAACACATCAATTTAGCTCTGTTGATAAACCTCAAGTTAGCTCAATTAAAAAGTTCAAATTAAAGAAAAAAACTACTTTTAATCAACTTTAATTTTTAGCCAAATTAAATATCGAATTTCGAATTTCGAATATTTGAATTTTAATTTTACTTGTTCGCAATTCCACTACATTTATGTTGGGCATTCTGCCTTGGATCTGTAAATTAGCTCGCCTGGCTGGCTTGACTCAAAACAAAAACCAATTTCCATTGGCATAAATAAATAAAAATCAAATTAAATTAATTCCAACACAAAGTGGCATATCCTGGTTGCTTCTTCTTTTGTTTTTTTTTTTTGGCAACAAAGAGCAGCCAAGCAGCAACGTACATAAAAGGCAATAAAATTAAATCAAATCAAATGAAATGCGCATATGTATGGCGTTTTATGAGCTGGGCACCGCTTTTCCAAACAGAAGACAACGAAAAGGACGTGCGGAGTTGGTAAGGTTAGTTAGGAAAAGCGAAAGGATTAAAGCGAGACCACACAAAAAGGCAACTTGGCTGGCGATACCGCAACCTATCCCAATTCGAGCTCTTTTGGGTGCGTTTTTGTTTCTTCATCTAAGGATACTCTTCAAACGATTCACCTTAACATTGTCATAAAAAAATGTACAAATAAGTGCTAATTAAGTGAACGATTAAATGCGAATTTTTTAAAATGTTAGACATTAAACTACATTTTTTTAAATTTAAATGTATCTTATTTTGTGTTGTGTTTATTAAGCTAAATAAGCTTTATGGATAGAAAGAAATATGACTGCATCAAACAGATATTATTTGATAACTCTACTTTGATGATTATCACTAAAAGGTATGGCTATATTTGCCAATAGTCGGATAATCATTTTAAAGGGTAAAAACAACGTCGTTTATTTGAACTCTGCTCATTTCGTGAGTTCTTGTTGGTTTCTCATTTTTGGCAATAAAATAAATCCACCGCAAAGCCGCTGCGGGTAGATTGCTTGGTTGACCCCAAAAAATAAGTGGGGGAAAACTCGGAAAAGGGGCAGCAGCTGTTCAGCTTTTCAGATGTTTCTGGCATACATAACCATTTAGCCAGATGACAGGGAGAGATGTGCTCCTGGAATTCCTTGAGCTGTCGGTGCATGGCTAATTCAGTTATTTCTGCTACTTTTCATCGTTAATGTGGCGCTCCTCATCCCAGGAGCTCCAGAGAAATATTCAGCAGGCATTCCAGTGCAATGTCGCATCCATTCCGAGTGTCCATTTCCTGAGCAAGTAAACTGCCGCCTTCTGAATAACCCCATTTGTCCCGCATCACACTGCGATCTAAAACTAATATGTTTTTGAATAATAACATTGTCAATCAACAATACTTAAAGGTAATATTGGGAAAAGTTACAAGCTATTTGAAATGGCTTTGAAAGCTAAAAATCTATAAAAAATAAACTATATTATTCTCCACTCATCGTCTTATATTTTCATAATTAAATCAGAAAATATTAATAAATATTTTTAATGATTTGTATATTTCCAAATGTATCTTTTCTCTTTACATATTATGATCGAGCTTAAAAATAATATAAAACTGACTGATTTTGAACCATATTTATTATTATTTAAAAATACATATTGGTTCAAAGGAAATTGGCAATATTTATATCAAAGGAAATTAGCAAATATGTTATTCTACTTATACCAAAGAATAAAAGCTATTTATGGACATTTTAAGGGCTTGATTCAATATCCAATATTGGCATTTGGTTGAGAGACTTTAGCTAGAATCCTTTTCCGAGTGCACTATCTCCCTCTATTCTGCTCTATCTCGTAGTGTTCCTTTCTCTGTCTCTTTCTCTGGTTTTGTGGTCATTTCAAATTTTCATTTCATTTGCCATAAAAAGGAAATTGGTTTCGTATGCCAGTTGACATGGCCCTTTACCACTAGCTGAGGGATTCGAGGGGGGCAGTTAAACACATAACTGCAGCAAACAACAAGCTGAAATACCTGACAAGGGAATGGAACTGGCACTGCCAACGGAAAATGGTTGGGGAAACCCATGGAAACTCATGGAAAGTCGTGTGGAAATGGGAGGAGCGGAAGACATCAGCACAAAGCATAAATGCCAGGAGCTGGACCAGGAACCGAGTTGTGTTTAAGCTCCTTCACCGCTATGTGGGGGAATTTTCGTGACAGATTCGACCAGGACAACGTGCTGGAAAATGCGAGAATGGTGATTCGAGGGGGGTAAAGGGGTTGCAATGCAGGAAAAAGGACCCCGGATTGTTTACTTGCTAGGGAGTTGAAGTCCCTAATTAATGAACTGCTTATGACACCGCTTGGTCACTTATTAATGAACTGCTTCAACTGAGTTGCTTGGACGTGTTTACGATGGGGATATTTTAGCACTTGCCTCGAAGCTTAAAATCTAGGGTTATTGTTGTGAAGTCAGTTCAGTAGGTTCATACTCATTTTTGGTCTTAGAAATTATGTTCTAAAGTTTACGGAGCATATTCATAGCAAAATTAACCCTGAAAACATAAAATTCGACCTATTTTTGTCTTCATTGGCATCGCACTATCAATTCTACATATTACATTTATTTTTCTAAACTTAAAGGCATTTCCTTTCTAAAATCTATGGCAAAAGCCCTAAAAAAGGGGAAAATTTATAAAAAATATAAATATATTTCCAAAATGTGGAAAACATTTATAAAAAGTAGGGCAGCAGTTAATTTAGGACTTATCTTCAGTAACATCTCTCTTTTTCTAAAACATGCTATCATGGTATCAATAGTTATACTTATTCTTTTACCTTTAAAGGGAATAAACATTTCTTGGGCATTTCTTTCTTCATCATGCGTGATTTGTAAAATAGATGTACACCCTGGTCTAAGTAATAGCTATATGTTA